CCCCCCACAAACTGCCCGCCCACGAACTCCACGCCCACCACTCCCCCGGGTCCCCAGACAAGACCATAAATCACCAGCAAGCAAGGAGGACAAGAGGACAACGAAGCGCCTGCTGTCTCAAGCGTGAGACCCGCAGACGAGGACAGAGACTGTCAAAAACGACACTCAGAAGTATGGCTACTGCTTATGATCTCCACAGTAGCCGGACAACTGCACCCTCTCTACCCCCCCAACCTTGTCGCTCTTTGCCTGCATGAGCTGGGGGTTTTAATAGAGCACAATGCAGAATCTGATACGGACGTAGTGACATATTCCTTTTGTGAATTTGGTTTCTATTGTACTGCATCACATTCCCTCACATTTCATTTCACTTCATACCTTCAGGACCGGCTCTTGCTGTGACTGTGACCAAACAACTGTATGGACACAATCGAGATGAAAGGACAACACCGCGAAGGGCAAAACAAGACAAGGAATTGCTCAGGACAGCGGCATTGGACAACAAAGACACCCAGAGTTCTCAACGAATGGCTGTAGGTACTGGTCTTCGCAGCAGCCGCACACAATCCCTGTCTGGCACTCAGGCTCTTCAACGCACAGGCTTCATTGAGCAACACAGATGCTCAGGAGTTCTGGACGGGGCATGCGATGTCAGGCTCTGCAAGGACCACGACTGTATTATACATTTAGAGACGCACATGGCAAAGACAGATGTGGAGGCATACCTCTTCCCCATAGACTTGATCTCTCCATAACACTGCATCGCATTGCATTTCGTTTCATCTCATTTCATACCTTTAGGCCCTTGCTCTTGCTGTAACCTTAAGAAAAGAAGAAGGTTTTGGGAGGGTATAGGGTTTAAAAGGACAGGCATAGTAACAACGAACAGGGGGGCTGCGGAACTGGGCTGGGCCAATGGATAAGGGTGCTCCAAGACAGGATGGGTGACACTAGCAGCTTCATGGAAGAACGGAGTCCCGAGATAAGAAGAACAATGACCACATCCCCGGAAACAACAAACAGCAAACACTGTTTTATAAGATGTATCAATGGACGCTGGACCCGGTTTCCAGCAGGTGCCGCTCCCCACCAATAGATGGAGCAGCCGGACAAATAAGCCCTCAATTCTGACGGTTCTCTTACCACCGCCGGGATAGAGGGGTTACACATCAGCTATTCGGAAAAAAAAAAAAAGAAAAGAAAAGAAGAAGAAGAAAAAAAAACTTCAAAAAAAGGACCCCCCCCCCCACACACACATTTGCAGCTTTGCAATGTCCTCTCAGTGCCTCTCTCTCCTTTCAGAATTTCCCTCGATGGGTCCAAGTTCCAACAGCAGGGCGGCCCATTCCTTCACTGCGGGACTACCGCTCCTGACAGTTGTATTGTGACAGGCTAACAAGAAGTTGCAAACTCTTTCGGGCTCTCTGTCTCCTGTTCGGTTAGTGCTCGCTCCCCTAACCCAAACTCTGACCCCTGCTCTCTCTCTCTCTCTCTCTCTCTCTCTCTCTCTCTCTCTCTCTCTCTCTCTCTCTCTCTCTCTCTCTCTCTCTCTCTCTCTCTC